AAAGAAAGACATTGAAACCAGGAGTGAGATACAGATAGTAAAGTGCTAAATGATGGGAAGCAGTGTTGCAATGTGCCCCTTAAATTTGTATGTACGTGCTTTGCAGTTTGAGAAAGTGTCAGCAGTTTTCACTACGAGTACTCATACTATAGCGTGTGAATGGATTAGCGAGAGTGTGAGCAGTGTGGAGGGGTTAGGGAGATGTTGGTCTAAGGATACAAAATTTCATTTAGGAATAAATTCAAGAGATCTATTGTACAACATGGTGACTATAATAAATGGTAACGTATTTTAATCTTGAATTGCTAAATTTTAAGTATTCCTACCACAGAAAGTATGTGAAGTAATACATATAAGTAGCTCGATTTAGCCATTTCACCATATACATGTTTCCAAACAACATATTGTACCAAATAAATGTATATAATTTTTAGTCAAAAATTTAAAAATATATGTGAGCAGGAGTTAATTCATCCAGTGCTTCAGTGAGTAAAGTGCTGTGTTAAAGGTATAGTGATCAATAACAATTTCTTCCTTCAGGGAGCTTATTGTTGATTAGAGCATAGATACACCAAAAAAATGCAGTGTGGTGCAGTTGACTCTGGAGAACCCTTTAAACAATACAGGGGATTCAGCATCTGGTAGGTCAGTTTAAATAGGACCTTAGCAGGGATACATGTAGGCAAGCCATGGTGGAATCTGGGGACTCAGATTGGCATGTGGGAACACAAAGATGAAGGATTCAGGTGGAAAGCCACTGAGCAATAGGAGTGAGGAATCTAGCATCTACATCAGAACAGGATTCTTGCCAAACAGGTAGAAGGACCAAACGTCAAGACCTTCGTATTTAGCCAGTACATTCCAAATGACCTTTACATTCTGAACTGGGGTCTTATTGTCATAACTGTAGGAAATTTGGACGTAGATCTTGGCTAGCAGATGCCTATATCAAATGTGCAGAGTAAAGCACTGTTAAGAACTGAGATAAAGCATACACAGAGAGGCAAGTGATTGAGATAGAGCAGCTCAGTAGATGAGAGTTAATGACAGATGAGATTGTAACCATTACTGTTTTTGTGGCAACTTGATATGATTGGTTGATGCTCATCAATTCCTGAATTTTGAAAATTACTTAAATCTGTGTCATGGAATGCTATACTTGGAAAGACAGAGGCCATCTGCATCTCTAACTTTGCCGTTTTCTGTGGAATCAAAAGCATGAAATATAAGTTGTGTTATGCTTTTATATAACACGTTTCATAACAAATTATAATATAGCATTTTATTAGCTGTAGAGATGCCTTAAGAGGTTTTATTTTAAACCCACAATTGCTTTCCTTCAAAAGTTACACTTTCTTGGGTGAATAAACTGAATTTCAACATAGTGTCCTATTGGCAACAAAAACTTTTTTTTAAAAGCTAAACCTCATTTGACCTGTGAATTGTCCCAAATCAGCCAGGGAGGAAACATTGGGAGTCCCAACCTGCTCTGACTTTTTCCTTACTTTAGGGTGCAAGCTGGGTTGGCTGGAGTCTTCCATCCCTATCTGTGTTAGTCAACAACAGGTGACCTTGACAAATGATGAGGACCCAAATGTTTCTGCTGGCTTTCACAGTGGCTGATATGGCACATGAGAAGACTACTATGTTGGTATTAAAATGGATGTTGTAGAAGTAGCTCCAATTAACATGGAAGGATTTCAGAATATATTAGGTGAAAAATGAGGTTACAGAGTTCTTTGTAGAATATGATAGCTTGTTTTTATGGAGTGCTTTTCTTGGCATCAGGAATTGTGCTATAGCCTTCCTATGCAGTGTCAAACATCTTACAACCCTGTTTTATAGATGAGGAAATTGAGGTCCAGAGAAGTTAAGGACGCTTACTTAATAAGTGGTGGAACTGGTCTTTGAATGCATCCCTGTCTCTGGAGCCCCTGTTCCTAGCCCTTCTCCTGTGCTGCCCTCTGTACATGATGAGCCCTTCGTGGGAAGTCTGCAAGTGCCAGCTTTCTCTGACATAGGGCCATTCATGCACATGCAAGTAGAAAAGGGTGTGGAAGTCACCACACGAGGATGTGGGTAGCAGTCATCTCTTAGTAGAATTATGGATGTTTTCTTTTGCTTTTCTTTGTTTTCTGATGTTCCACAATGAGCCTGGATTGCTTTTGAAATAAATAATGTAAAATCTTATAGAAAAGCATAAAGATTATAAAAGTCATGCAGATGTAATAAGTAAAAACAGATAAGAAATTACTGTTTTATAGTATGATGCAGTGAGTATGATTAAGAAATAGCCAGCCTACTTAAAGTGCTTATCTCTGTTACGGGGATTTTTCTTTTCTTCTGAATGTTCTAAGTTTTCAAACAAGCATTTGCAACTTTTTAAAAATTATGAAAGCAATTATAATTATTTACCATAATGTATTATTGCTGGATTTTAGGAGGAATGGTACTAAAGTTGTTGAGTGGTTCAGACTGAGAGTGCATTAATGGGTACCTGGGATTTCGTTCGTTTGTTTCCTATTTGAGGGAACTTAAATTATTGTTTTGGGCCTTATTTTGCACATCTGTTTGAAAAAGGCATGCCATATTTTAAGTTGCAGACTCATTATAAGAATAAAAAACTCCTTTGAAAGATGGATTGATAAACACATTTGTACCATCGATTTCTGGTTAGTGCGTTTTAATCTTTATGTCCAAGTGTCAAATTCTCCCCACAAGTCTGATACAGAATCAATTCATACAATCAAGTTAATAGTGTGTAGTATGCATAAAAAATTTGAAGTGTGAAGTTGTAAATGAAAATTAGTAAATTTAAATTTAAATATACATAAATTTAGTATTTTAAACTTAAATTTAAGTACAGTCGTGTACCACGTAATGACATTTTGGTCAATGACAGATTGTATATGTAATGATTCTGAAAGATTATAATCCCATATGTTTGTGGTACCTTGTCTTGGTTCAGATTTGTTTAGATACATAAATAGTTGTGTTACAGTTGCCTAACATGTTCAGTGCAGTGACATGCTGCACAGGTTTGTAGTCTGGGAACAATAGGCTATACCATATAAGCTAGGTGTGTAGGAGGCCATAACATAGAGATTTGTGTAAGTGCACTCCGTGGTGTTCAGCAATGACAGAATTGCCTAACAGTGCATTTCTCAGAACATATCCCATCATTAAGCGATGCGTGACCTATGTATTCAATATAATATAAATGTAAATTAGAGCATTATGTATGAATGCTGTAGTGTAGTAGGCAACGGTTGGTTAGTGCCTGGATCACAGAAATGTGCCACTTTCTGAGAATGCCCTGGTACACGTAGATAGCAGGGGCCTCACTGGCCATTTGTCTGCACTGTCATCTCTTGGCCATTTTTTATGGAGCTCTACAAATCACCGCAGCCAGGAATTGGTTCTTGCCCATGCTGACGTTTGGATGTTCATTCAGTTTCTACTCAAGTCTACAGTATTTGTTTTCCAATATATCTCACTTTTTTGCTTAAACTAGCCAGAATTGCTTTTTTTTTGGGCAAAACTTTAAACCTTTTAAAATGGGTTTGGGGGTCTGGGTAGGGTGGCTCATACCTATAATCCTAGCACTTTGGGAGGCTGAGGTGGGCAGATTGCTTGAGGCCAGGAGTTTGAGGCCAGCCTGGGCAACATGGCAAGACCCTGTCTCTACACAAAGTACAGAAACCTAGCTGAGCGTGCTAGTGTGCACCTGTTGCCCCAGCCACTTTGTGGGGCTGAGGTGGGAGAACAGCTTGAGCCCAGGAGGTCAAGTCTGCAGTGAGCCATGACCACACCACTGCACTCCAACCTGAACAACAGTGAGACTGTCTCAAAAGGTGAAAAGGGCATGAGGGGAGTGCTTAATAAGCATTACTAGCAATTTTGAAGCCTATTTTAAATATAAGATTGTATTTTTAAAAGTAAAGTTTTTAAGGCAAGCAAAGGAACATGCATTGATTGCTGAGTATATGACACGCTTAATTACAACAAATGAAACTGGTCATCTTGTGTTTTGATTTTTGTTTTCATCTTTCTGCTTTTCAGTCTAATTGGGGAGCAAGAATTCTTTTTCCTCTCCCTGTTTGCTTTAGATGCTTCTGCCCCTTCATCTTCCCTCCTCTTTTCCGTAGCCTGACTTTGTTCTGTAGCTGTGTTCCATTCCCTAGGGGCCTGCCAGGAGGGGGCTTTCTTCTGCTCATTTCTCTCTTCATTCATTGACTATCTTTAAGTGGCCTTTTTTCCTTCCCTACCTGTTATTACAATATTCTACTTGCAGACTCTTCCCCCATGTTCACAGGAGCTGGATTTTCCTTGTGCATGGAAGCGCCTTTGGCTCAGGTTTAGGGATATGAGCATTGTTGACAGGCACCCTTAACAGGTGAAAACATCTCAAAAGATGCTTGATTAAACTAAGTATTTTGTTGCTCATAAGCCTCTTTATTTGGCCTTGGTAAACTAGGAGGCTAAGGTAACCTTTAATTCCAGGATTTTAGTTTTTGTGCTTATATTTTATTATGCAGTGCTTGTTTCTCATGAAAAATTATGAGCAGGTTAAATTCATTCCATATCAAAATGTCATAGTGAAAGTCTCTACTTTTCTGATCCTCAGTCCCCTAGTTCCCCCTGCTTGAGGCTATCACTGTTGCCAGTTTCATGAGTATTTGTTCACTGGTATTTTATGCATATACAATTGTATATGTCTTTCCTTGCAATTCTTTGACATTATACAAATGGTAGCATGCTATTAGCTTGAAGGTTAGTCCCAGCACATTTGTCTTTTTTCACCTACACTGTGTCTTAGAGATCATTTCATATTAGTACATATGGGTATATCTTGTTACAAACTTGCACACACAGAAAATATGCTTTAAAGTCATCTGCTATGGTGCATTGGCATTATAACGTAGTGTCATGAGTCTTAGAGCTGGATTCAAATCCTGGCTCTGCCGTTTAAGAGCTTGTGACCGCCTTTTACCTCGCCTTTCTGAGAGCAAGATGGGTCACCAGCAGCTGTACTGGAGCCACCCGCGAAAATTCGGCCAGGGTTCTCGCTCTTGTCGAGTCTGTTCAAACTGGCACGGTTTGATCCGGAAATGTGGTCTCAATATGTGCCGCCAGTGTTTCCGTCAGTACGCGAAGGATATAGGTTTCATTAAGTTGGACTAAATGATCTTCAAAGGATTATCCAAGACA